TCTGCAGCATCTGCTGGTCCATCACCAAGGCTTCCAATACCATCATCCTCTCCTATGTCTATGGCAAGGTCAGGGTCAAAGACCTCTTCTGGATCATAGTGCCATATGAAATTGTGGAGGGCACAGAGAGCAGCAGGTACTTGAGTTTGGGTGTGGATGCTATATTCAGGGGGAATTTGAAGAATCCTCCACCTGCATTTTATATCACCAAATATCCATTCAACGGCATTTCTAAGTCCAGCATGGCAAAGGTTGAATAACTCCTCTCAGTTTTGAGGTCTATAAAATAGACATTAGAGGTACACTGAGCAGGATGGAATAGCAACTTACCTTAATCCAGCCTGGCACCATTGTTTCAGATGGTAACAAACACCTCAATAGGGAACCAGAGGTGCATCACAGGTCCCAAACCCTGCATCTGCAAGAAGGTACTTCCCAGGTGGCATGTGCAAGTCATTCCTGTGTGCATCATGCCACATGGTTGCATCTGCAGTTGTCTCATCAAAGCCAGTGAGGGCATATGTGAAGAAGAAGTCAAAATCACAGATGAAGAGACAGTTTTGAGATAGGTAGCCCTTCCAGTTCCTCATGTAAGGCTGGTCCTCAGCAGCAGTGAATGCTCAAATATGAGTGCCATCAACTGCACCAATACAATCCCAGAAAAATTGGAAATGTGGGTTACTAGTAATCATAGTTGATATGGGAGTGTTGTTGGTGGGGAATTGCACTTGGGATGCATAGAATTGTCCCCCAGAAAAGAAAGCCAACATTGCTTTGAAATATCTAAAAAATTGTGAGAAAAATATCAGATAGTCCAATGAACTCCCCACCTAGTGATGGTCCCTGGTGAGTGTTGGAACCTCTCAGCAACATGCCAGGATGACAACCCAGTAACACAGGTGTAGAGGAATATCCCAAGTTGTTCCTCCACAGAAATTCCATTGCAAGAAGGCACAAAACCATGACAGGTGAGCACCTGCATCAGGTGATCAAAAACCCAATGGCTGATGCCAAGGCAAGTCTGTATCCTGTCTGGATGACCATTCAGGAGCTCTATCATCCACCCCTCACCAGTCAGGATTGAGGTATGGTAGGGGATTGGTTCTGAGTCAGAATGAAAAAGGAGGTCATAGAGGCATAGCACCTGGATCATCACTGCTACTACAAGTGCAGCAAGATGGTGACAATGATGGTGCTGGAGCTGCTGTGCTTCAAGATCCATAGCAGAGTTGTTTGATCTGTTATCACAATGTTATCTATCAAACTACAAGTTGTGTTGTTGTGTTATATAATCATCATGTGACTACATTGCCAAAGTCAAAGTCAAAAACTTTGACTTTGACTTCAAAGGGTGAACAGCACCTAAGCACCTGTGTACAGCATTGTGGTTTTCAATGTATCTCCACCATTTCTGCAGATACCAACACCATTCCCACACTTGCTTATAGTGCTCAGCCACACATCCTACCTTCCAAAATTGGGAAGGATCTGCACACTCCACACATTTCTGCAGCACTCCCTCCAACCAACACTCATTTTGCTAATTCTTCTGATATGGCCACCTCCACATCAGTCATTTCACTTGTCCCCTTTGCTAGGGACAATGGCTACATATATCTACCAGGCATTCCTACTAGCTTCCATCCTGAAGCATCCTGGTACATCCCATCCCTGTCTGCCCCCTCTCAGCCCATCCAGCTTGGACAGCACATTCTTTGGTTGCCTCAGGTCTCAGTTATGAAGGTCTTATGTGGTTGTTTCAGTCTCTCTGGTCCAAGCATACAGATCCTTCCTCCCTGCTCCCTGCAACATCTTCATACCAATCTTGTCCATCATTCTTCCAAAATTGTGACAGCTACAGTATAATCTACTGTCCTCCACTCTGCCTGATTGCATCCATGATGAGTATGATGCACATCTTGCCTTCTTATTGCAAGATACAGCAGAAGATGCTCCCCCTTCATCCTCTCTTCCAACAGAGTCTCATGAAGTCTTCATTTGCTTCATTGAGAGGACAGTTGGGGGGAAAAGTTGCAATCTCCTATGCTCCTGTCACCCCACAGACCCCCAAAGCTTGACCCCTTTCTGACACCTGATTCACCCTGTCCACTTTTGGATGTACTATATTGGCATCAGATCAGCACCGCCTCTCTGTCATCCCACCCTGGCCTAGAAGTGATCCCTTCAAGATGTGACATGCACAGCCTCCACCTAATGTGATTCTTAGTGCACTTACCCAGTTTCTGACCTTGCTTGACTTATATTGTGAAATTCTGACTGTCCTATTGCCAATACTTACCCATCTTTTGCCTCTGCTTACTGATTCTTCACTTTCTGGCTTACTTATCTTATCCTTACCAATGCTCACAAATGCATTCTAAGTTGATTACACACCATTTACATTGCTTACTTATCAGTTACCAATCACTTACCAAGTGTTTACACCTTGTTTCCCATAGGCAATGCCCCTGTACTGTATAGAAAGCACTGTACTTAGATAGCTAAAAAAGGAAGACATCAGAGAGTCCCTCCTGCTTGCAATTCATTGTCCCTCAGTAATTCATTCATCAGCTTTGATAGTTGAGACTTTATTAAGGGTCTAGCTATCATCTATTTTGCCTATTGACATCTATCATCAAGTATCTTTGCATCCAGACCTTCCTGGGCTCAGATTAGCTTGGAGTCATCATCCATCCTTCTGTAGGCTGACAGCAGTCTACCCTATCACTACCTTTTGCATTCCTGTTCCCCCTTCATCAGATGCACCCCCAACCCTCAGCATGCATCTTTGAGTGTTGTAGCTCACAACAACCCATCCAAATAAAATGTTCCACCATCTAGGTACTACATAGGCACACCACCACTCACTTTCATTGTCTTTTGTGTTGGTTTTGGCTGGTTTACACCACTGAACCACACTTTGACTCACAGCAGGGTCCCTCAGGGAAGGGATGGTAATGCCTCAGGATTGTGAAAGGACAAAGGACAGACCAAAGATGACACCCATAACCAAACAACCTCACCCTCACTCCCTGATGAAACCACTCCCAGCAGTACTCGCACTCAAGAATGGACCCCTTCCCCCTTCCCTCTGCTCAACCCCACCAATCATGCAGCCTATCAGCTGCTCTCTGTGATCACCAGCACAGGGGGTCATGAACAAGGACTATCAGTCCCAGCAAGTGACTTCCTCGACCTGGTGTGGCTGCTTACAAACTCAACAAGGGGGACAAGCTTGACAGGGGGTCACCAGAACAAGACAACTATATACAGATGTTGTCTTTGGTCTACTGAGCATCAGACATAGTCATGGCAATCACTGATAAACTTAGAGTTTGGACCCTGACTGGAGGCCAACCCCTGGTTGATCAACTTCTTGTCAGAGCAATGGAGAGGTCCAGGATGCCATCATTAAGGCTACCAACCACCTGTTTATGGCTCACCAGACCCAGGCTTTCACAGCTCCACCCCTGTTCAAGATCTGCAATCATGTAAAGAAGCCAGGGACAACCTGCCAAGAGAAGAAGAAAAAGCATAGGAGCTGGAGGTTCCAGTTGATAGGCTCAACAAAGGCAAGTTGTTGTTTAAACAAACTGTATTGTTCCTCAATGGTGTTATGCCTACCCATGAACATCAAAGTGATTGGAAGGCTCTTCTCCACAACACTGCTTGGGTAGGTTGCAATAATGCCTACTTTAACACTGTCCAAACCACTGCCACCCTCCCATGTGAGCCCTTTCTCCCCATCCCCACTGGGCAACTCCACTACTATCTCAGTGGATGCATGCATGTCCCTGAAGGCCATCCCCTTTACTCCTTCACATGTTACCAGTGCCACAGACTCAGGCACTGGTCCTGTCATAATGGGGCTGGATCATGCTGGACCCCCACTGCTCATGAGAATTCTCCCTTGTCTCCCTCACCTCCACTCCCTGCATGACTTCACAACATCCCCACATGACATGCTTATCCTCCCCTCCCTTGAGGGTCTGTGTTGCAAATTTATTTGGTCCATTGTCATGTGCCCCCATTGTAAGCAGCATGTAATGGACCACTTGCCATTATAATGGTCAGGTTTGGCTAGATTATAGCAAATATGTGATATTTTATCTAAGATATAGTGCAAATGTGTAAAATATTATGTAAAAATACCCATTTTTGGCAATCTTTCAATGACACATGGGTGGCATTGGCATGGCTTATAACGGAAGTGTGAACAGCCACCCTTAACATGTATTATAAGGTTCTTATCACGTGCCCAAGAAATTTGCGACATGATGTGCTTGAGAGGGGGGTGATGTGACACCTCAAGCCAGCCCATTGGCATGTGGTTGAACTCTTCCAGCTGTGGCCCAACCATTCACCATCTGGAGATCTTGTTGATCCTGCTGCAGGCCCACCAAATTCATCTCAGCTGGAGGAGGGCAAAATAGAGGAGGGTGGTGATAAGAACTGATGCTAGATCTCTCTATTGATAAGCATGCACGCTGTTCTGCGGAGTTTGAACCTTAAATCGGAGCGTTAATAGCATTATCTACACATCCATTTTCCGGGTCACGGGCTTTTTATGTGGAGTTCGAATCTCCTGTCGGAGCTTCAATGTTCACCCACAAACTCACAACTCAACCGCACTTGAGTTTGCTCGCGTGTTCTTTCCACATTTTAACTTTGAGCCACCTTTGAGCCGCCCTAATTATTGAAACCGCCGGTGTGTCTATTGTGGGCTCTGTCACTTCCACGCCACTACACATGTTGTGGGTCCCGCCTTCACAGCGCCGGAGAAGGCTCGTCTATAATCTGAAACAGGGACCTGCGTTGGGACCCATTGTTGTCCTCGTGTGTAGGATTCCATTTCTTGGCCAAACAAATCAAAACCCGACTCGGACTTTGGCATATGTATTAAAGGTCGTCGCCCCCCACTGCTGAACTTGTCCAAAGCAGTCGCTGACCAGGCTCTACGCTCTTCTTGCTGAACAAACGCGTATTTCTTTGGTTTAACTATGGAGGGAACAGTCACGCCGCCGCCGACGAAGCCCGCCACGCCTGACACCCTAACTAGGCCGAAACAGACGTCGTTGGCGGGTTATCGCTCGGGAAACCTCGCTCTCAGCAGGACGGCTGTCCTCAATGACCTAGGTGCAATCCCTCAAGTATCATTGGATTATTTCAAGTCTGCTGCCCTGCCACCCCTTCATGCAGAGATCGGCATCGCCGAAATCAAGACTTCGCTGGAGGCCTCTCAGGTTTTGTCCCGAGACTCGGGGTGGACTGCGTTTAAGAAGGAGCCGAAGGTTTCGGGTGTATCTGAGGAGCAGGCGTTTGGACCCCTTTCGGCGGTTTTTGAGGCAATCGTCAGCGAGGCTGGCAGAGTCGCGCACACCTCGGCAAGGCTTGAGTTTGTATCACGACCTGCACATTCGCCACGCTCCGATCGCTCCAATTCGACTCGCCCGGATGCGTACTTGCTGCTAGTGGAGAAGAAGAGTGTTGGCGTGCAAGAGGCCAAGAAGAACGAAGCCGAAGGCTCCGATCACGATTCATGGGACGATATCGCCGTTTCGTTTGAGTTCAAAAAGGGTGACGGGACTGCCGAGCGCGAAGACGTGAGTGACAGCTACGCTTCTATTCGAGCATCGCTAATTTGGTATGATAGGATGACAAGAAGGTAATATGGAGTCTGCACCATATTATGCGTAGCGACCCATGTCGCCGCGCGACATTTGGTGTTACCATCGAGAACACACAAACGAGGTTTTGGTTCACTTGCCGGGCGGTCACGCTCGTCAGCAAGTCGTTCAATTTCCTTACCGTTAGTGGTCACGTCGTCGACTCTATTGCCGTTCGTGACTGACTCTCTCAACAGGAGCCAGAACACCTCATCCACTTCTTCTGTGCCCTCGCGTTTGCAAAAGACCACGAGCTCGGATGGGATCCAACGATCCGGAGAGTGTGCGTCGAGGGTAAAACTCAATACATCATCACTGTGCATTCAGAAAACGGGGGAACCATCGAATACCAAACCACGAACGTCATTTTCGATTTCGGCGCCGATGGTGTGACGGGTCGTGGGACTCGGGTCTTCGAAGTCTATCCTACGCCTCGAGATGGAAAATTGGACGCGGAACCCGTCGTACTGAAGGATTCTTGGAGAGAGTGTGACCGAGATCGCGAGGATAAAATCCTTCAAAAAATATTTGGCGACTTGCGGGAGCTGAAGGGCATCGAGGCAGAGAATGAGGCTAGAAAATATTTTCTCACTGTCGTTGAAGCAGGAGACGTGATTGTGAATGGGACGGTCGATGGCACCGCCAGCCTTCTACACGCATCCGATCTACCAGCTGACTGTCCTTCATATGCGCTACCTGTCGATGGTAAACGGAAGGCGAAGCCGACCAGGTCCAGCGAAGGACTCCCACCAAGTTTTTCTTGCGTCTCGGGTGCCACCAATCATTCGAAAATCCATCACAGGATCCATTTTCGTCTGGTGTTCCAGGAAATTTGCACGCCTATATACAAACTTCAGCGCCTCGATACCGTGTTTCAGACGCTGCAAGATATTCGTAAAGGTTTGCTAAGTTGTATGATGAGCTTTCGCTGGAGGCTTATATATAATTATCAGCTTTGGAAATTTTGCACAGCGTAGATTGGGTGCACCGTGATGTCAGCGCCACAAACTCTTTACGCGCGGGCGAGGTGGGGAAGTTAGCTGACCTGGAGTATGCGAAGCGTATGAACGACACAAACAGACACGGGATCCGCACGGTAAGTCGATATCTCATCCACCCATGCACTTTCAGAGACGTGTTAAAGGGAACCGTGAATTTCATGGCTTGCGAGGTTGAAGGTCAAACATACCTCTTTAAGCCACCTGGATTTTTCGACGAAGTCTACAGTCCCCCATTCAGGTTCAATCCCCTGCACGATATGGAGTCTTTGTGGTGGATTCAAACGTGGATACTCTATTACCATGTTGACCAACCGCGCAGCCAACGGTCGTCAAAACAGGAGGATTACTCAAAGAACCTCTTTCCCGGACAGCTCAAAGTTCGTTTCTACGAGTTTTCCGACAATCTGGACCTCCGCATCCTTCCGCCCCGTTTTAAGCCTGCAGGTCGACAGGTTGCAATGATGCACGGGAAGCTTAAGCTAGCTTACATTGAAAGTGAAAAGTGCTTGCCGCAGGAGCCACCGGCCTATGTCGCTCCACTTGAAAGTCTCCACGCCATTTTTAGAGAACACCTTGCGACTGCTGTTGAGGACTCTAAAGATGTCATTCTTTTTATCCCGACGGATAAACGGCCAAATCCGGAAGACTCAACCCATGAAACTCGAGGCGAAAAACGACCCAAGGTTTGAACCTTTTCAGATCACCACTGACTGCTGACATCATGTTTCTTCCTAGGTGGACTGATCGAACATCGTCCAAATGTCGCGACTCTCCAAGCCCATGACACTACTTGAAATATCAATAAATGCTTATTGTACTATCTTGCATATGAATCCTGCTGTTCCCACCACTTTCCCTTGTTTAGTAGTCCCTTGCTTGTGCTTAAGGTTCCAGCTCATCGAGTCATCAGAGAAAATGTACTGGTCGACACATCATGATGACTGTTCTTAGTAACACCATAGCTGAAGCAAATCGCGAGACCAGAAGCAGCAGTAGTGAAGGGTTCGCTAGAGACGATGGATAGACACAAGAGTATGTCATGGTTCGAGAGAAACTGGTAGATCGTAAAACAGAGAGCAGAAAGACTACCATTTATCAAGGTGTGGGGTGAGCTTCCAAATCCTCTACACACATAAGATTGGAAAACTGTGGTGACCAGATCCCCAAGATGCTGAGCATGGGATACACCTTTGCTGGCTCATGGTTCTCCTGTTATGATAAATCTTCCCCTAACCATTTTGCATAGTTTTATACAGGAGTGCACTTAGGCTAACCAGCAGTCACCAACTATGGAGAAAGAAGTGAGTAAGTGATGCTGCCACCAAAGAAGCTCACCAGTTGAAATCCTAAGCAAATCAAAACAGATGTCATTGGCAGATTACTGTTCAGGGGATCTCACTTTTGGTAGGACAGCTGTCCCTAGTGACCTAGGTGAAGACCTCAAAGTATCACTTGATTATTTCAGGTCTGCTGCACCACCACCCCTTCATGGGCAGGTTGACATTGCCAAAATCTAGATTTTGCTGGAGGGTGCTCACATTTTGTCCTGAGATTCAGGTGGACTGCATTTAAGAAGGTGTCAAGTATGGGTTTACCCTTGAGTGACCAGGCCTCAAGGCCAAGTGACAGGGGCTAAGTCTGGTTGACAGGGGTCAAGGCAGGGAGACAGGGGCTAAGTCTGGTTGGACCACAGTTGAGGCCAGGAGTTAGGGGCCCATTCCAGAGGTCTGGAGTCAAGGCCAGGATTGTGGGAACCTGACTGGTCCCAGAGTGTGCATGGAGGGCAGCCAGTCTGGGGTTGGATCTACCTCCCTTGGTCTCAGCTTATGTGCTGTATGTCAAAGTTGCACAACACCCCTGACTTCCTCTTAGGGTGGAGTAGGAGCAGGTTGGGCTGTGGAGTACAGCAGTCAAAGTCCAAAGTGAATCCAGCCACTGGGTGGCAAGATATGCAATGAAAAAGGAGCAGAGAAGTACAGAGGGAAGTTTTGGAGATAGGGGTCAGAGTCAGAGGTTGGATGGGAGGGTGTCAGGTTCAGCTAGTGTGCTGCCCCCTTGCACAAGCTCAGCCCTCATATTTCAGAGGTAGAGTGGACTCAGAGGGGTGGAGACAAAACTCCAGAGGGAACTCAGAGGGAGTCAGAAGTGGTGACTTTATTGTCAATATTTGTACTGATTACATTGGAGTACTACATGGCCTTATATACAGTGTAGGTCAAGGGCAGGGCAGTGTAGAATGCAACCCAATAAATGTATAAGAGGTTAGCAGTGCCTCCAATCACAAGGGACAGATGATAATGATAGGGATGATGGGGACCTGAACTGAGATAAGGGAACTACTACAATGAGGGAGAGAGGGTAAATACCAAAGGAGTGAGAGAATGGAGAAAAAACCAACACAAGGGCAGAACCCTATCTAGAATGCAGGGTTGTAAGTCTGATGTTCTGCTAAGCCAACCAAGGCCTTGGAGGAGGCACAGGTGAGCAGAGGCAGTCAGAATGTAGACAGGGGACCTCAGAGAGGTGCAGAGATGTGTCAGGAGGGTCAGAGGAGCATGGGAACATGTCAGAAGAGGGCAGAGAAGCACAGGAGCATGTCAGAAGAGGGCAGAGAAGTGTTGGAACATGTCAGAAGAGGGTGGAGTAGGTGTTAGGGGCTTATGCCAATGTCATGGTCATGACACTGTACCCTTATGCAAGCTGGGCAGAGGTTTAGGACAGGGGCCAGGGATAGCTTAAGGTTCAGCCTTAGCTATTGAGAAGACTCAGAGGGTGATGCAGAACTGAGGCTAATACTTAGTTGACATTCTGACTGAGGTACTATGAAGTGTGTACAGGGGTTAAATACATGAGGCCAGTCTGGGGTAACAAACATAGAGCCAGACTTGTTAATAAGCTGTTAGCAAGATGATTAACAAGGGGTGGACAGCCACAGAGGCTTTGCCAAGACTAATAGTCAAAGTCTGGTGACCAGCATAACCAGAGACAGGACAGGTTTTATACAGTAACATCAGGAAATTCACACATTACTATTTTTGTCCTATTCTCATACTATTTATGTCTTATTTTTACTATTTGCACTAAAATAGTCATACAAGACAGAATAGTCATTTTAGTAGGTTCATTTACTATCCTCACTATTTTTTGTACTATCTTTCGACTATCTTTCAACTATCTATGCTATTTTCTCCACTACTATCCAACTTCTTGTTGACATCATTTGTTCAGCTCAAAGGTAGGGAATAGAAATCAATGTATTCAGAATAAAGTGCAGCACAAAATCAATTAAATGAGAGTAGCCCTATTGATGAGTTGAGAAAGAGCAGCTAGGAAACTTGGGAATATCAATATCTCAACAACCACTGGATGGAGTTGGATGAATGAGGCATCCCTAGAGACAGATTAGTCAGGAGAGTGGTCCACCCACAAAGTGAGAGAAACAGTGATGAGACATGCAAGATATGATTACAGGACTTTGAGGGCAGACCTTGCTGCAGAAATGGAGATATCTCAACAACTGCTGGAGGAGAGCAAGCCATTCAAAAAGCAAGAGAAGTGGTGGTGAGATGCACAAGATGTGATCACAAGACTTCAAGAGTGGACCTTGCCACAGAAATTGAGATATCTTGACAACCACTGGACAGAATTAGATGAATGTGGCATCCCTCGAGATGGAGTAGTCTGGAGAGCAAGCCATCCAAAAAGTGAGAGAAGCAGTGGTGAGATGCACAAGATACAATCACAGGATTTTGAAGGTGGACCTTGCCACAGAAATCGAGATATCTTGACAGCCACTGGACAGAATTAGATGAACAAGGCTTCCCTTGAGATGGACTAGTCTGGAGAGCAAGCCATCCAAAAGCAAGAGAAGCAGTGGTGAGATGCACAAGATACAATCACAGGACTTTGAGGGTGGACCTTGCCACAGAAATCAAGATATCTCAACAACTGCTGGATGGAATTGGATGAATGAGGCATCCATCAAGACAGACTAGTTGGAAGAGCAAGCTATCCAAAAAGTGAGAGAAGGGGTGGGGAAATGCATGAGATACAATCACAGGACTTTGAGGGTGGACCTTGCCACAGAAATCAAGACATCTTAATGATGGCTGTGTGGAACTGGGCAAAAAAAGCATCAACAGGATGGGTCCAGTGAGAAAGAACTGTGGCTTAAAAAGTGAGAGCAATGCCTGAAGAACACATCAGATATGAACACAAGACCTCATAGGTGAGCTCACACAAAATGCAAAATAAATCCAGAACCACTGGGCACATCAAAACATTCAGGGCATCAACATGGAGCCATCATTGAGTAGTATGCACCTGTGTAATATTGAGAGACATGGTGGGAAAATGCATGAGGTAGACTCCATGTTGATGTTGGGGCTGGATGGTGTGCTCCATTGACAGGATGTTGTGGGGATAAAATATATATCTATATATAAACTTACTGTTGTCATCAGGATGCTGCAGACAAAAAAAAAAAACTTGCTGGCATGGATGCTGGGGATGGAGGTGGACATCATGGATGTCAACAGCACTGAGAGTGAGTGTGTTAGTTGGGCCTGTGCAACAGAGGGTGCTCACCTGTCATGGCCATCATTGTCAACAGCATTGCAACCTGTCCATGTACAGTACTTGGTGGGACTTAGGACAATTTTCAAAGCATTGTGATTACAAATCCAGTGATTTGTAATCACAACAAGTAGTTCAAATTTTTTCAAGTCCTGAGACTCTGCAATGACAAAATGATGCCCACTGATGTGCCACACAGCATTCCCCTGGACCAGCAGCACCCCATCTTTGCTGGCAAATGGCTTGAAGACAGGTGAAAATTCAGGAGGGTATCCCTCCTGACCAATGGCATCTTCTGCCCCTGCAAGTTGTACATTTACTTTTTTCATTTTGTTTACTAACTATCATTACCAACCCCCTGCATACATGCCCACAGATCACCTGCTTGCACTCGCTTTTGAACAAACTGGCTAGTAAGTACTTATACTCTGTTACTTTTTTGTTTCATCTCACTAACTATAGTTACAGGGCACACCTGCACTCATGTACACCTACACCTGCACAGCATGATTGCATGTGTTACTTGGTATATATATATATTCATTGTCTAATTATTCTGCTCATACACACTCACCTAGCATACCCTAACAGATAGCACCATGCACCCTTGTAACTTTTTTGACTTTTTGACTTCAATAAATAGTGTGATGAGTAAGAAAAGTGAGAATAGTTGGAAAGAGTTGTAAATAGTACCTCAATAGTAGAATTAGTATTTTGTGGATTTCCTGATGAAGCAAAAGTCAGATGAGAGGACCAAACTAAATATAGCATAAACATCAGAAAACAGTCCAGAGTTATGTCCAGGTGACCTGGACATGGACCTGGGAGGACTGGGGTGGAGCAGTGCAAGGCCAAGAGGCCAGAGTGGATGGGAGATAGGGGTAGAACATCAGACTTGAGTTATCTAGGCCTGAGCTGGGTTACCTAGGGCCAGAGTTGAGTTTTCCAGGTCAGACTAGGTCCAGACTTGGCTGGAGATAGGGGCTAGGGGTCTGAACTGGACTGGGTTTGAGTCTGAGAGTCATGGATGTGACAGAAGGAGCCAGAGTGTTCTGGTTATCTGAAGAGTTTGAACCCCTTTCAAAGGTTTTTGATGTCATCCTACTTGTAGCTAGCAAAGCTGCCATCACCCCAGCAATGCTTAGATTTACATTATGACATATGGAATCACTCTGATTGGTCCAATGTCACTCACCCAAATGCATACCTGCTACCACTTGAGAAGAGCATCAACATGCAGGAGGCCAAGAAGAACAATGCCAGAAACTCTGTTCCCCAATCATGGCATGAATGCTTAGTCAGCCACCTTTCTTAGTCATCAACCTACTCCTGCATAACTCAACATTGACTTGCACCAGGAGCACTCTCTATTGAAGATCATTACTCTAGCCAGCATCCCCCTCTCAGACATCACTCATTCATCTACTCCTGCATGACTTGTTGAAGACTTGCACTAGGAGCACTTCCTATTGAAAAACACCTACTTTAGATATTCCTGCACTCCAGGTTCTGCAGAGGTAAACCACCACTTGCTCTTTTGTAAAGCTTGTGATGACTCTTCTCAAGCTCATGCACATGAAGTGATCTCTCTGGTATTTGCATAGTAAGATGTAGAAAAGAAAGTTATTTACACAAGAATCTGAGACATTTCTTATATACAAGCAGAGCATGTGATACTAGGTATCACATGCCAGTAATAATGGATACTACTTTTGGGGAAAGCCCCTAATGCCCTCCCCAGTAGAGTTGATGTAGGCTTGGAAAGAAAATGAAAACAAGATATTGATATTGCATGTGAGGATTGGGCCTCACAACTCTCATACAGAAGGGGTGTTAAACCCCATGCTTCCAAAATCAAGGGAGAGTTGAATCTCCAGAGGGAACATTCCCTCACATTCATGACCTATCTTTGTCCTTGAACAGGTCATCAGTCATTTTGCCCTCCTTGGGCTCAGAGTCTTTGGCAGGGGGATTTCCCCTGACAGTGGATGTTCCCCCATGAGGACAGTGGGGGAGGTCATAAATAAACACTGTGGATGTGAATGCAGAGACAATCTGCTGATTGTCAGTCTGTAAGGGCATGTGACCTGGAGGGACCTGGTTGATGGTGCAACCAATTCACATGCAGATTCATGTACAGCTTCATACATCTCTGACCAATCCAAATGCTCAGATTTGAGCATCATGCCCAAAGCAGATCCTGTCTGAGTGACATCATCACTCAAGGTATCACTCTCAGAGCCACTCTCCATTTCTGGAGGGTTATCCTCTACCATGGGAGTGTCATCTTCTGAGGGTAATCCCTCCTCTTGATCATCTATGTGTATAAATGCACAATAGACAACCCCTTCATCTAGAGGTTCATCATCATGGTGCATTGCACTGAAATAGGCTATTGGCTTGTCCTCCTCATCCACTTTGGAGTATGTTTTGAAGGTGTTGGGAAGTTTGTCAGGGTCTACTGACTCTGTTTCCTTGGGGGTAGCCCCACATTTTCTTCATATTCTTGGACCATTTCCTCCTTGTCAGGCTTGCCTGAGGCTCCTTCCTCCAACTTGTCTTCTTTGCAGGCATTCTTGCACTCTGCATCCTCTTGGACATTGACTGTGAACAGTCACAGCCTTGCTGCATTATTTTGGGGCTATATGGCCCTCCTTAATGCAATTATAGCAAGTGATACCTGTCAGGTATTTTTGGGGCTGTTTCCCCTTATTGTGGAAGTGATCCTGCTCCCATTGACAAGGTCAGTGGTCTGTGCCATCTCTTTTCATGAATCTGCTGCCTTTCAGTGGGGGATTCATCTTTCTTTGATAAAGGGTGTCCCCTCTCTTTATGTATTTAAAACCTTCATTGCTCGAAGAGTGGTGATTGCTCTCCCTTCTGTGTGGGTATGAGCCACATTGCAGTCCAGGCCTGTCACTTTGAATGTATGGAAGTACTTGAGTAGCTGCCCCAGCCAGTTGTTGAATTCTTCAAGGTCATCCTGGCCTTTGTATTTCCCTGGCTTTGGGATGCCCATGGCTTTGACCTTGGGTCCCAACTGTCCTGTGGGCTGGCCTACTTGCTCCCAGATATGCTGAGCATATCTGTTTTACATGAAGTCAATATATCTTGTGTTTCTCAGGGTGAATCCCCTTAAGTAATATGGTCAGTTACCCTGACCTCTTACAGGGCCTCCCCCATGGCATCCACAACCATGATCATCATGATCATCTTCATCATTGTCATCAGGGGGTGGATCTTGTCAGGGAAACCACCTCCCAGTGGGTCTCCCCTGTAATTCCTTCCTTCAGGGGGGCCACCTCCTGGTGGTCCATACCCTTGTCCCCAGTAGGGATGTCCATGACTTTTGCTCCTTCATGGAGGATTCCAATCCTCCCCATCATGATCTCCATCATCATCAGGAGGTCCTCCATCTTCTGGAGGATAGCTGTTCCTCTCCTAGTTCCATACATATGGTGAATGATGTCTGAGCTTTTCTCAGACAGATACACTGGTCAATTTGGCATGCTAGGGGCAAGACTGCTCCTGTTGCTTCCACTTCCAACTGGGGCACTATAGCTTCACCCTGTTGGTAACCTTCCTGGATTTAAGTACCCCTGCATTGAACAATGTTCTTGTTCATTTGTATGAATTTCTCTCAAGGCAGGCCTATCCTGCAGAATAGGAGGAGTTATCTCTTCCCTCTTTGCTGCTGCCCCAGTGTCTGGGCTGCTAGCCCTGCCAGTTTGGTCCTCAAGGTTCTCAACTGCAAGTGCTCACCTGATATGCTCTGTCATATTGGCATGATGCTTACCTGGGTCTATCCCATGGTTATGGAAGCCTTACCTCTTCCCTCTTTGCTGCTGCCCTAGTGTCTGGGCTGCTA